TCTGCTCTCAATTTCGTCGTCACAAACACCAACACTATTGTCACAAAGTTTGTTACTTGTAATGTCTGTTTTGTCCAAAAGTACCATGCACTATTTTGTTCTGTTCACGCGTCTCTGCCAGTGGGTCACTTTTAATTGAATTCCGTAAAAACGGTCATTATACACGCACGCCTAACAATAGAATATAGGTTTACATCGCTTCACCATCTTTGAAGGGTCTTGATACTCTTTGTACTTGTCAATACTTTATGAAAAAGCTTCCAACTACCACATATTAAGTTCTATATTTATTATATTATGAAGCAATTGCGTTTGCTGCTGTGTTATAAATAAAGAAATTTCTGCAAAACACAAATTATACACTTATGCAAGTAGTTGTTGGACAGAGGAACGCGACGGAGTAATGTCTGAGATCCTTCAGATAGCTGGTATATTTACTGGCTACTTAAATAACGCCCGACGGCGGTTGGAATCTCGGTGGACGCACAGGGTACCTAGGTACAACATTGTCATCAAGATAATTTGCTGTCTTCCAAGACCGTGATTTATATCCAAGTATTCTCAGCAGTTACTCAACGCCCATAAAATACCAATAGAATTTATCCAAAGAAAAAAATATTGGGTCTTTCTTTAACCCTAAACGGTGGCAGTTGAATGGGTTGGTAGTCGCTATTCTTGTCGTTGCATCGCGAACCAAAAACAATTGGATCTTGGAATTCTTGAACGTGCGCGCAACGATGCATATCATTGACCAGGGAGCAGTTTTATTGCTTTTGTATGCATTACAGACGTAATAGTTCACATTGAGTCGAATTAACGAACATTTACACAGTGCAGTTACTCCATTATGTAGAGCACCTTGGCGGAAAAATGTTACTTATTTAGTTCATGACATTTCATATAAATAAGACTTTGGGAAGATGGTGACTCTGCTAGAGATTAGAGGCCCAATTAAAGCAATTTTTCGCTTTATGATTCACGGCAGTCCCGGTTTTAAAAATTGAGTTATTTTCTGTAGTGTAGGTAGGAAGAGAGCTTTCGTGTAATTAAGTATTTGTTTTGTGCAGACGTTACGCACAACACACAACTTTTTGATAATGAATATGCAGACGCGACTAATTCAACATCCGATAAGATAAAATAAAGTCAGTGACTAAAATGCTGATGATTTCGTAAAACTCCATTTGTTCCGATGTGTATTCACGTCTGTGCCAGCGGTGCCGCATTGACACCATGAAATCAGATGGCCCCATAAAGCGTGGCAGGAAGAGCATCACGCGTGAAACGCATTATTGTTTGGATAGCGCCGTTTCGCGCCACTCGCTCATCACAATGACTCACTGAGCTACGAATTCATCAACATATAAAACCATCCAATCCAATGTGGTATTCATGTAGGATCTAGATTTTTCTGAAAGTAATATCTTTATCCACCTCTGTAATAAGCGTTTACGCTTTCGTATTATTGATTCCTTAGAGTTGTGTTAGCAGAAAAGTCTTGTTGTAGAGCCATAATCAATTTACCTAACTACATATTGTTAAAAAGTAGTAAAAGCCTTACATTAAAAGAATTATGTAAACCGCCACGCATTTCCTATACTGAGGGGCGTGTAAATACTTTGTGATGATACTCGGTTGGCTCAATCAACTTGTGTCTGAACTCTATACACATGATAAAAAGTCGCAAAGCATTATGCATTGAATAGACACCGCAAAAAACGCGGTGATGATTACAACCGCTTTCGGAAAAAAGCTGAGACGTTTCGCTAATTAAGTACTAGCATAACAGCATTTTTACTTTCGATTCTTCACACTTACTACTTATTGATTACAGCATAAAGTTTTAGTATAATTGTTCAGTATTGGGTTTTAGTATCTTGAACTCATAATATTTATGGGTACCTTACAATTTTTATTTGGGGATATCTTGTTTATGTGTATTGATAGGTTGTAACAATGTTAAAAACGATGTTGTTCTCATGTAAATGAGTACCTAGTTGTTATTAGTTTGCAGGCAGGTATGTGTTGTACCAGTCGACGGGCACAATAGTCGTTCTGGTCCAGTCGTCGGGTCATGCCTGCCGCCCGCGCATCCGTCATACCATCAAATCTGTGCCATTATGCTCACCACATAACATTATTTATATAATGATGTAGGTATCACGACACGCGAAATTTTATGTAATGGAAGCAATTATAGCAACATTGTTTGTGACGCAGGGAAAATTCAACAATGTCTTTGTCTCAAACGCTAATTTAAGTTTTAATAGACTTGTGCTTTTCACAAAAGGCGTTTTTATAGAAATTTTAAATTAGTGCAATCTAAAACCGATTGTAAAATGGTAGGAATTTGAATAAGGTTGACTAACGTCATATTTTTAAGTAGTGAGTAGGTAATTGTAAACACATGAAAATCAGATAACCTACGATTTGAATATAATGTGGATGGAAGCGGCACCAAGCGCTTCCTCTCAGTGCGTCGCGAGGCCGCATCCGTTTTCAAATGTCGAACGCACTGACTACCGCGGTAAAAATGTTAATGTTATTGCAATTCCATTTCGAGGTCTGAACAATTTCTGGTTTTGTTCAATCGAGGACGAAAGCACGTTTATTTATTTAAAATCATATTTTAATATGCAATTTCGAAAACTATTCGCCGAAAGACCTGCTTGCAAAGCTGTATAGATGTGTACGATAATGTTAACTGCCCAAATAAGTAGGTGAGCTATACAAATAAGATTGTATAATTTTGGCTCTTTATGACTTGTATACTGGGTCACTACAAGATACACAACCCTTTTTTGGAGTGGCCTGATTATCCTTTTTATTTGAATACCTAAACAAAAAATTAGGCTTTTGATTCGAGTGAAAACAACAAAATAAACACATACGGTACTTATATTCATATTATTACCTACTTTGTAATTTTGTATTTAAATTCCACATTAGATACATACCTGGGCAGAAACAGACCTGGTAGGTAATTGCTTGATTACCTTTTACCAGGCTATAAATAAGATGAAAGTGAAAGATCCAATCATAAACGGCTGATATTACGAAGAAGTTAATTAACAAAATAAACACAATTATTCTCGCGTCATCGCGAGTCTAATTAGGAATCCGTAGCAACTTTACGATGGCGGGTTTTCGCCAGCCAACAAGAGTTTTTAGAATTCTTAAGTCACATTGCTGTAAAAATATCCTTTTTAATGAATGGTGTATGTAAGTTATTGCTCTGTGTATGCGATTGTAGGCGTCGTACCATAATTTTATGAACCAATAAACTAGTCTTCTTTTATAAATTGTAGGATTTTCTTGTAGGGATAGGTTGATAGGATACAGCAAAAAACTTTTTACTTGATATTTATGTTTGTACTGTAATTATAATTATGTTTCCATCCTACCAATATCTATCTACGCATTTTCTGGCAACTGCTGGCATGGAGCTAGTGGTATAATAGGTAATTCGAATTCGAAATTCGAAAAACATTATCGAAAACATTTAGTGACATTAGGTGCCTAATGAATAACAAGCACAGAGGTACGACGACACATTTAAATATTAAAAAAAATCTAATTTATAATCTGTATTCAAACGACAGTTAATTTTATCAGAAACTTCTACCTAAAAGGAGACTGTTAGTAAATATTCGATCTATAAGTCTCATATTTTACAAAGTTGTAATCTCATTTCAAGGGGTTTTCATCTATAGCGATCCTAGATCGAAGTCGAATTGGAAGGCTTGCGCTAACCGTTCAATCTAGGTTTCTAGGATTCTAGGTGTAGTTATAGTAAAAAATACACTTTCCATGTTACGACAAAGTCATTATGGAACAGTCCCATATTTTATCTTCACGATAAACTTGTTCCTGCGTTGATTAATAGATCTCCTATCAAAACGATTTGATGGCAACATTAAGCATTTTTTATACAAAGTATCATTAACTGCAGAGCCAAGAGCCATAATAAATGCAATATTGTTTTCAGTAAAATAAGGCCGAGGGTATGTATGTTTATTGACCTTAAATTTTATGTTTGCAAGTAAATTTTTACACACAAAATTATTTTGTATGTATGTCGCTGAACTCCTAAATGACTGGACCGATGTTGATGTTTTTTTCGTATGTAGGTAGATATGAGTATTTTCAATCGATAAATGGCGTTTTCGGTCAGGACAATTTTATATGGGAATGTTAAGTCTCTTGTTTTAAATCAGTGAACATCGACCAAGATATTGTTTAATCAAACATAAGTGGCTGCGTGGTTTCCTTTGAGTAGAAATTATTTACTTAGTTACTAGTGACTTACTCTTTCACTATACTCGGACTTTTAATTCCATTCCAGATTTGACAATTTCAGTGTTGCAACGTTATGACACGTATTAAATAGTGACGTTGCGAAATTATTCGATGTGGAAATCGAATATTTCTGAATCGATTCCTCTCGTTTATAAATTTAATCTCGTAAACTAAGTTTATCAGGAAATAAAATATTTCTGATCCGATAATGTAGTTTGACAATTAATTAACGATCTGAGACTTTTTCTTTGTAATTGTGTGTGAAATAAATAAAAAATGTGATCATGAAGGAACATGACAAATAAAACAGAAATTTTATAAATTGTGGCCGTCATCGCTATCGCTATCGCTGTTACTTTCTGTAACATTTATTATAAATTGTGTCTGTGATTTTTATTGTCAATTAACATATCTAGCTTACTAATTTTTTCCCCTATTTTGACAACATGAGATACGCATTTAGACCATTCGGTAGCCGTAATTTTTTGAATGCCTTCCTGAAACTGATTCACTGATTGTTTATCGATTTTTGTGTTCATCACTACACTGTTATATGTGGTATCATTATTTCACAAAATGACAGTGGTCAATGTCAAATCAGGAATCGAATTAAAAGTCTGACTATAGGTGACGACGAGTGAACTAATTCCATACATTATGTATGATGCGCTACACGCCCGTCGCCCGGGGCCTGTATATACATATGATTAAAGTAATGTGAGATATATCGCGGTCCACGCACTGGTTCCAAACGACCACGACTTGTAAAACGAGCCCAAGGGAGATCCCATTACATCGATGATACTATAATTATTGGAAGCAACAACGGCTCAGTGAGCAAGTCATTGGGTTAATGGCACGCTCGGATCGCTGCATTGCTGTTGCATCCGAGCGTAACGTTAACACCCCTATATTTGTTATCAGATCGGCATCTCTAGATTTTTTGCGGTTTGCAGAAGTGCTACATCTGATTGGAGAGCCGGACTTTCGCGCCGTAAGACTGCGGTGGGAGTATGGAAAGCCCGATGAGGAAGACCGGCCGAAAGTACTAGCGTTCCAAGTGCATTACTGCGAATTACAAGCATGGGGGCAGTACAGATGCAGAACAAAGGTAATATACCTACTTTCCATGGGACTAAAAAATACAATGGCATACGCGTTTAAAATAAAAGCTACGACGCTTTACAATGGTATAAGTTAGCAATGAGTTGGCACTCCAAAACGGGAGATAATGGGCCGGAGTTTGCGCGTCGAGCGTGACTGCGGCGTGACTATGACAAGGAACATGCCCGCCAGTCATTACTGTATTTACGTGTTAATATTGCACTGCCGCCAATGTTTGTGGCCTTTCTCTTTTATTGAATCAGATTATATTTAAATGTTGACATTATGGACTATTCTACTGCTAAGCTACAATAAACTATATTACGGGTAACTTCAGTCAAGGTTACCATAAACATTCCATACCAAACGGTATTTATTAGCTCCTATAGTAACTGAGTATGTTTCTGGGGTTTTTGTTTTAGGTTATCGACACAATGGAAGAAGAAAAGACTATGAAATCATCGACGAGCACAACAGAAGCGACAGTCACTACAAGCCAGCCTCTTGGAGCGAGACGCGGGCGCATGTACAGCACGCGAATAGTCGGCTTGCGGATGGCGACCACATATTCCTTCGAAGTCAGGCCAGTACATCGTGATGGACGAGATTTAGCTGACCCAGAATCTATTAGCTCGAAAATTATAATCGTCCCCACAAAAGGATGTAAGAAAGCGTTTTAATTTTTTTAGGGAAATGATTTACAGACTTGGCATTAAAAGGTTTTAATATTTGCAGTTTCAGCTCGAGCCACTCAATGTTTACCACACGCAAGTGAAGTTGAGGTGTCTACGGGTCCCTTTTTCGGAGGGCGTATCGCTGTAGAAGCAGCAGATGGCGGTCCTGAGAGATGTTCCATTCAAGGCAACCCGAACAGTGCTCAAGACGCGTACATACTGCGGATACACCACGACGAGTGCGGTTCAGAAGTAAACGACACCACTGTCGCTACCTACGTCATCGTGCAGGAAAACTTGCCCATATTAACGCATAGCACAAGACGGTTAGTTAAGTAAATATTTCCAAATATATTTTTGTTAAGACCAATTTGGATCTGTTTTTAACTCTTGACAACTTATTTCAGATTCTTAGTCCTCTGCACTTACAAGCCCGAGACTTTAACAGTTAGAGCAGGAATCAACTTACCGAAATCTAATCCCGGAGATGTGCTCCATCACCACAAATCTTCAAGTGGGTCCGTTGAACCATACGAGAACCAAGACATGGACTACAATGAACTACAACCAGCCAGGCTTGAAGCGAGAAAGGAGGAATCGGAACAAAGTACGTAATAAACGGTTCTTTAAAATTGGTTCAATTATGATGGATTGCCGACCTCCTTACATAACATTTAATATTCCAGGTGCGTTCGGTGAGGTCAGTTTGGTGATGTTTTTAGTAGTGACTGCGTTTGGCGGCATCGCTCTCTTAATATGGAAGGTGGTACCGCAAGCTGAAAGGGACAACATATCTATCGCCACCGTCTCATCTCTAGCACGAAGCGGGATCTTCAGTAGGCGGAATAGAGATCGATTTTCAGACCAAAGCTCGGTATATTCGATCTCTTTATCGGAAAAAGATGAAGGTACGCCCAAAAAACCCAATGAAGGCGACAACACGTCTGAAGCGTAAATACTTTAATACTATTGTGATTGATTTAATTTAATTATTAGTTTTAAGTGCACGTTCTGTTTGGTACGCGGTTCGTACGACAAATTAAGACTGTTCAGTTAACAAAATGGCTAAGGTTAAAAAATATTTCAGACCATGTTCAGACTCAAAGCAGACCGTAATCAACTCAATTCGAAACCGATATACATACCTTTAACTGGTTTCCAAAGAAATATAACATAAAATTTGATGTTTTTTTGCTTTTTAAAAAAAGTACCTATTGGCACATTTCTAATTCGTGGCCAGTATTTGCTTTGCACTAGAATCACTAACATCAATGCTATGATTGCCATAGTTATATCTAGTATTTAAGAACAAGACTTGTGTGAAGTGAGCATACGAAACCACATAATTTAAAATGAATTTGGGTATCTACATACCTAGGTATTTGTGTTTAATTATTTATTATTGGCAGTAAAAGTATGTAGTTAAACAAAACTCCTTGTCCTTTCGTATGTTCGTTTGCATTGAATTTAGTTTTAAGATAATACAAATAGAAAAATGAGTGTGAATAAAACAAATATTGTGAGACTTACTGTATTTTATTTGAATACGTCTCGTGGTTCGTCTAGTACAAATATTTGCTTTTCCATCTTTAGTTCAGGAAATAGAAATTGTCTGACAACATCGTTTAGTTCTTCTAAAGCAATTTGTGCGTGGAGTCGAACTGTTTTGTCTTCATTTTCATCTCTATAGAGACTTTTCAAAGTCCTGTATATTGGTAGTAGTTGGTCCTTGAGTTCCAATAAAGTATCTTTGCCCAAACCTTTGATCAGACTGGCAATAACCATCACTGCTGCTCTCCGACACTCTATAGCCTTGTCAGTTTGTATTATATTCCAAATACAATAAAGTACCTTGAACAAAATTACACAATAGATGAATACAAAATAATGTACGACAAATCATATTTATAAGTACTTTTATGATGATATTCAGCCAACATTGACATACAATGATAGCGATGGTACTAATAATGAGGAAACCTGGACGCAATAAAGTTTGACACCTGGCGTGGTGATTATTGATCAAATATTTTCCTCATGAGAAAAGGCCTTTGTAAAGCAGTGGGTAGTTTACCCTACCCTACTACCAGCCTAGCTAAAAATGGTAATTATGCTGAATAATGCATTTTTTTAAGTTTAGTAGTTAAATGGTAAAAAGCTGAATCCTGAAAGACTTGCCATGTCTGTCACACCGTCCATCCATATGTCATAGTCACTTAATTCCAAAAACTATACTGTTCTGAAGCTTGATTTGAAGTAACTACACGTAAGTATTTTGTGAACCACATTAAAACCGACAACGGGACGATTTTATTTATATTTTTTGAACACTTTGATAAAGTTGAGCTAATACCCTGACAAATAAGCCACTTTGAGCCCGCCGCTGATTGTGATTTTTTGTACCCACGGCTTTTTGTCTCTAAGTTGATTGCAAAGAAGATGAAAGAGAGTGCACTCACTGTGGTGACAAATATTTGCACTAACCTGGACATTACTTTTGTTGTTAAAGTGGCAATCAGCGGTGGGCCTTAAGCAAATGGATCAAACACTCACCTCATAAATGATGCTTCCCATCTTATAGTGCAGCACTAACGCTATTTCTGCCAGGTTGGACAAGGCTGATGTCCTGATGAGTGGGTCTGTATCATTGACTGCACATAGCATCGTGTTCAGTAGGATTGTCTTATGAACAACTGCCATTTCACCTGTAACAATTACGATCACATATATTTTTACTTTTATATATGTTTTACATTTTCAATGCAGCAATCGCTCGTCGCAAGTTGTGTTAAGATGAGCCAAAGATTAACATGATATAACCGTGGCAAATTATCGTTACAACATCACGTTGTAACGATAATTTACGTTGAGTGATATTTTTGTTGATTCCTGTGTCAGGTAAATGGTTTACAACTTGTAAAATCACAGAAATCAAGTTCCCGCCAAAAAGGAAGACAAGTATGAGCCTCTAGGTAATGAATCTTTATTAGTCATTGTTCAGATTAAATAAATAAACCAACAACTAGGGTAATTGTGTTACAAGAGGGCCTAGTGTAGAATAAAGTCTAATCACCAATAACACATTTCCTAATACCAATTATTGGGCAATATATTTGTGAAAATGTATCTGAATGAGATGATTAAGACCCCACTAGCGACATCTCGTGTGGTAGGTAGGTACTTTCACTTACCTAATCTTTTAGTAACCTTCACAATAACGTCGCCAATTTTCATTCTAAGTTCTGCATCCCTATTTTGACTTTCGCCTGTTTGAATGTTGCCATCCTTTGCAGTTATCTGGTCTTGTAAGAACTCTTTGCAGAGTATTTGTAATACGTCCTCAGTGCAGTGCGTGCATAGTGCAGCTAGACCATTGACGGCAGACAGGTAAATGTAGGAGTCCGTATCCTTTAGTTGTTCCTGTAATTAGAATAGAAACAGAAGTATCATAAATGTGATTTGGATAAATTAATGAATCTTTTTTCTTTGTGGTTTTATCCTTGCTCTTTGCTGTGAGTCCATTTACCAAAACTGAAATCAGAGACAAGTTGCAGAACAAATGTGCAATGTCAATGTGCAATTCTATTCAATAATTTTATTTATTTGATAAATACATAGTAAATTTGTCATCCTCCACAAATCATACACTTGTGTTCAAAAACAGTTGAATAATAAATCTGTTTTTTATAAGGTCAATAAGGAGCATATGCTAGTAACATATTTACCTGGAATATACAAAATACATAGTGTTTCTTAGAAATAGTCTCAGCATCCCCAGCATCAATAAGTCTTGTGAGTTCAATGATCCCATGGGCTCTCACAGGTAGCAACTCATCAAATGTATCAGAAATTGCCTTTTCACATGCTGAGTCCTTTTTCTGAGGACCTTCTAAAGAGATCAATGACAAGGCCTCCTTACATAAAATACTATTTAAACTAGAATCATTCTCACTCATCTTTCTTAAAACTGGCACCAATTTTATGAACCTTGGGTCAATATTTTCAGAGTTTGACAGTATAGTGTTCAGTAGTACTAAAGCTATAGTAATACATTCATTATCTGTGTTTGATTTCTGTTTCAAAATAAAATGTTCAATGAAATCAAAAACAATCATTGGATCTGATTTCAAGGACATCACTATTTTAGGTGAGGTGGATACTTCTGACAGTAACTGAAGGATTACTGCATATTGTTCATCAATTTCATCTATCAATATGGGGTCATCATCCTCTGTCAGTAGGATATCTTTATTACCTTTCTTTTGCCTTTTATCATTTAGTTCTAATAATATTCTTAAAGCTATCGTAAATATATTTTTAACAAGAACATTATCTGCAATACTTTTAAATAAATCCATAATATATATCACAGATTCAGCTTTTGAATAGTTTTCGCAGGTTGACACACATTTTATGGCAACACCAGCATCATATTCTTCAACAATCACTGTAGGGGAGTTTTGTACAACATTACCAAATAAAAATATTTTAATTGTTTCATACAGTTCATCTGTTCTTAACTTCTCTAGACTTTTAATGATGATGTCTTTTAATTTAATTTTCATATCATCATTCTTCATACACTTAACTCCTATAGAGTACAGTAGATACAGGTTTGGTGTCAGTAACTGTACTGGCCAGTCTAACTTGGTTGTACAAACACATGCATGCAGAACTTTGATTTTTTGTTCCACTTCTTGTGGAGACAGTACAATGGTACCAGGTAAACCGGTTTTACTTAAATAATTATAGTCTAAACTTTGGAACACTTCATTGCTTAGCATTACAACAGGTTTTTCCTGTGGGAACTTTTCATTTAAGCTTAAAACACAAGCCACAGCTGCAGCTAGGTAATGTGTGTTGTTTACTGACAATATTTCTTGTAGTTGACTGCAAATGTTTGCTAGATATTCACTTTCAGTATTAGTTCCATGTCTTGCTGCTATGATTCTACAGATCATGTCAATCTTCTTCCATTCAAAACCTGTGTCAATATCATAGCTCTCTATAAAACATCGGATCAAGCTGAGCAGACCTCCAGGAGCTATCAACCTTTGACTTAGTTCCTTAGCTATAATTCTTTTAGCAAATGCTGGAGGTGAAGGATCTGAACCACTTTGAAGCACTAACAACTCTTTCATGAGTACTGGTTGAAAACAATTTGAAACAAGATGGTTATAAACACATAAATACTTTTTCCTGTCTTCATTGAGCTTGTCATACATTTCTTGTGTCATTGTAAAGTTATTGTATGTGCCTGGTTTCTTAAATGGAGCAAATGATAATTGTATTAAGGCTGCCAAGTAGTCTGAGAGGTGGAGAGTTATAATTATTGTTTTTAAGGCAGACACTGAATAACTTCTGGTAAAAAAGTCAGTGCATTCCACTAGCATCTCATATTTCTGTTTGTCAGTTAATAAAAGCTTTGGGAGAACTGCTCCAGTAATGCATCTCTTAGATAATTTTATTCCAAGGCCTGGTATTAAACTTGGTGAGATACCAACTGAAGTTACTAACTGGAAACATGTCCGCAAAAGCTTTTGGTTCTTTACACTTATGAGAATAGTTTCATCTTTCTTTAATTCACTAATAAGTTCATCTATAACATTGAATATCTTCTGTATAAATGATTTTAAATTTATAAAAGTTTCATTTGACAATACTTGATTTTCATTGTCAGCAACATCTTTTAGGACTGAGACAAATTCACATTGACCTTCTGAAATCATAATAATGACATTATTATATAAAAATCATGAATAATAACAATATAACTCAAGGAATAAACTAAATTATAAGCACATACCTGTGTGAGTAAGGTTTTCAATTGTTTTGAATATTAATTGGAGGTGTGACATCGCTATCGTTAAATAGTTCTTTCAGGTTCCAAAGGCAAACTTTCGGTATGCAGTGTTCCACAACAAAGAGAATATAAGCACTACGTTTAATTAATTTTTTATTATTTATTTAATTGTTCCACAATTTCAGTTTCTCATGAAATAATGAAAACAGATTTTGAATCATAACAAATATGACATTTGTTTGACTTGACATTAACAAATTTGACATGACTTAGATAATTTTTAAAATAGAGTTGCGAACATCACCTACATTCAATTTTAATAAAGCCATAAATTGTCCTGCTGTATGACCTACAAATAGAACATAGTTTATGGCACCTCTTTTACTTTAGTTTATGAATACATTCAATAAAGTTAATTCAAATTATTCCGTTAGTGTACACCAAGATTTAGACACATTAGTTTTTCAATCCAATATTCCAATCGATATCTTGCCCTGTCAAATATATAACTTGACATCTTCCTGTCAAGCGATTAACAAGCAAAAAGTGACAAATAATTTACCGTATCGAAATAAAAGGAACCGCGTATAAAAAGTACTTTGATTTTAGTGACTTAGGTACTGATATTACAGAAATAAATCTACCAACATGTTGATTAAAGTAAAGGTAAGACGATTCTAACTGGTACATCGAAGATAGGATTGGTTATTTTCAACTTATAACCTCGTTTATTTTTACAGACGCTTACAGGAAAGGAGATTGAAATAGATATAGAGCCTACAGACAAAGTGGAGAGGATTAAAGAAAGAGTGGAGGAGAAAGAAGGCATTCCACCACAGCAACAACGTCTTATTTTTTCCGGGAAACAAATGTAAGTGCTGAAGCATCCATGTTTCTTTGTCATTTTAGCCATTACATGTATTTCCTGATGTTTATTTGTGATAGCACATAGCAAACTTAAGAAAGGATCGTTCGTTGGTTCTTAAGTTAATCAACATTACACATCCACTTTCTCTAGAAAATGAATAACTTTTTCCTATCATATTAGAAATATGACAATTATGGTTGGTGTATAGTTGTATCTGTATAACATAAATATGTATGAAGGATTATTAGTCAGTAATTACCCTTAGGATTCTACTTCATGACCAGGTTACTCTCACTTTGTAGGTTTTGTTGATGTAGTAGTATCTTATTATACTGGAGCAGATGCAAAGATAAACCTTGCAATTTTGGTAATTTGATACACAAAAGCAAGTTGAAGAACAAAAGCACCAAAGACAGCAGTGTTCACTTGGGAATGATGAATTAAGTGTCATGCTGCTTGATAATGGATATTGTTATAATCTATCATTAAACTTTTCATGAATGAAATATACTTTATGTATTGCAACATTATAATATCCTATTTAATTTTGAGAATGAGTATGATGCACTCCGATTTTTGTTAATAAGCTGCTAGCATGTTTCATAACCAAAATATTCAAAGTACCTGAAAATAATAAGTAATAGTAATGCCATGCATGCCACCATGAATACTCATGACATGGAGTCCACTTTCTTTCATGTTTGAAGATTTATGTGCATTATAAATGCATAGATTGCCTTTAACCCATTTTCAAATATAAAAAAAATAGTAAATTCTTTCATCAATTGTATTAGCATTAAAATTATGGTCTTATGACTGGGGTTGCCACCAGTGATAAGGCTATGATGTCACAGAGGACTCTGGTGTTCACTTTGGGAGTAGTTTCAAACTGTATCTATTTTTATTTTATCTAGCATTCTGACTTAAACTGATGTATTATATTTTCAGGAATGATGAGAAGACAGCACAAGACTACAAAGTACAAGGAGGCTCCGTTCTCCATTTAGTGCTGGCCCTGCGAGGAGGGCTCTGATCTGCCTTGTGATAGTTCCCGTCTTATATTTATAACAATTAATTTTATTTTTCAAGTCTTGTATAAAGTGATTACACTGTAAAGTTTCTTTCAATTTACCTTAGCCATGTAACTGGTATTTAAGAGAACATGCCAGCTTAAACTGATACCAGGTTTATGGAATTGGCAAAGTTTAGCATTGTTGGACTGCATATTCAAACTTTATTATTTGTAACACTTCATACATTTATCTGCATTTTGTCATTTTTTTTTATTTAAAATGGTCTAAGATAACCCTGAACATGAGAAGGTGTACTTGAATGTTTATAATTAAAACCAAGTGATCATTTGAGCAGGTATTTATTATTACACCTATAACATTGTACATATAGTCAAAGTATAATTTACACATATTTGCGCTGAATGAAGGTTACATAAAAATAAAACATCTTTGGTTCACCACACAAATTAACAACATCAATTTTCTATTTTCTCCTAATTACATTAATTTACCACAAGCCTTTCATTTCACAATTTAAAATTATAACTAATTTGAGCATTTCACTACTCATGAAATAGCTGCAGTGTTGCTACCACAGACTCACACAAAGCATGCAGAGCCTACACTGTTGCATTCGTATTACATAAAAGTACACATATACATATATCTGGATTGTATAGTTGATTACAAAGAATAGATCAAACATGAAATGACAAACTACTATATTTTAGAATTGTTTTGGTGGATTTTAAAAACTACCAATCTCTAATATTATCAAAATGATTAAATGACTTTGGGACGGAAACATTTCCTTTAAAACATCAATATTATTGATCTGCAAAATAATTAATTTTTATTTGTATTCAAGATTAAGATTTAAGAATCGAATAGTTGATTTTAAATGGGAATATTCGAAAAAATTGAGCTTTACAAGGTAGGCGATGAGCATTCCAGTTTGGCACAACATAAGTTACACATGGGAAATGCACGAAAAGACCATGTTAATATCTAATCTAAAGATTGTAATATTTAACATTTTTATAGCGTCGCTTCCAGTCCAATGCCCGTTTTCCATTAGAAGTTGTTACGTCCAACCCTGTTTATATTCGGCAGACTAATGAAGACGCTAAGCCACGGAGTTTGGACAAAAAGTTGCCCAAGACCTCACAGAGAATATTAGAAGAAATATTTGTGCTTGCAAGTGTAACACGCACATGTATGGCAATCTTTATTTAATTTATTAATAAACTTATTTTAGAATATTGAATTGCATCGCCCCCGTTAATCCTCGACATTACACATTTAATGTAATTTCTATATTCTCAGAGTTTCCAATAAAACACTCCACTGATCTTAGACAAGATGATATAAACTAATTACACAGAGCAGAGCATTATCAAAATTTGCACTAGTTACGACTAAAAATTGTTCTTGAAAAAATAACTAAAGGAGATCCTTGCTGCATTACAGTTGATCGGCACAAACTGCGAAAAGATAAAAAATGCAATTACTTCATGTGTTAAAATTATACGAAAATTCAAGATAGTTTAATCCAAATACTCGTCCTTATTCTTACTCGAATACTTCATCGAAATCGGTGTGGCCATAAAATTATAGCGAGTTTCAAAAATCCTTTGTAGATATTTAGGTCCAGGCCTTTCAATGGTAGGTTAACCCAAGTAACTAATCGCCGACGTTGCGAATAAATTGATAAATGATGCTCTTCTCACGAAATGTACCAACTCGTGACTGGTCGGTTCATATTTGGGTCAATGTTACAACCTAGTGTACTTTGTTGTGTGGGTAGTAATACCTACAGGACCTTGAGTCTTTACATACTTGTTTAATGGTTTTGGGAAACCAAAAATGTTTTTTACCTAAGCTACTCAACCATCGGAGAGTGCCGGCGTGACCCAACCGTATTTGTCATGGGTTTTGACGACGGAGCGGAATGCCTCTTCTGCGCGGCGGCGTGTGAACTCGCACGAAGGCCTCGGTGGCGCCCGCGCCACTCTGCCCTGGCCCTTCACTACAGACGCCGCAAACTGCATTACCACAGCCTCTACTGTGTACGCTGAAGCCCAGCCGCGCGGGGTTAGCAGTTCCATACAGATTGCACCACCTTAAACAATGGACAAATCTCAAAATAGAATAATTAGATGAATAGCTTGAATTTGATGATTTTGTACTAGAAAATGGAACGGCAACATAAAAAATAATTTTACGGGTAGTTTATAGAAAAAAACATATTTTTTTAGGTAGGTAACACTTACGTTGAAAACTACCTACTTTATTATATTATTCTGTAGGTATGCAAGTAGCGTAGGAACCTGCACTACATCTATCCGCCTTGACAGACTAATAAGTTTAATAAAGATAATATTTTATCAATATTGCAAGTTTGATTAAGTACTTAGTTAAGTTATTAACTAGGTAGGTAATTGGCCAATCTTATTTATAATCCAATCAGAGTTTTGTAGTATACCTACTAGGTTAGATTAAAATTTAAGAACTACTGCAATTATTGGGGGACGACTTTTGAAATATCGAAGCAATATATTCATATAGTAAGTACAAAAGTAAGCGAGTAAGCCGATATCAAAACAACTTTCTGTTTAGTTTATGGCCATACGTAGATATAAGTAGGTACCTACATAACTAGGTACGGTCCGGGCATAACCTGATACAAAGGCCTAAAGACGTCACGTCACTCACCTTCCATGACAAAACCCTTCTCTATCCGAGGTTCGATGACCCTCATAAATGGCGGTGCAAAGGGAAAGTTCTCAGGGAATATCAGATGCAATAATATGTGTGGAATGTGAAGCTCGCGGAGATCGCTGGACAGCTCACTCTCCGGATCTATCTGATGCAGGCGGACGTGCCATTCGAATAGGTTGTCGTTGACAAGTTCCACCTGTAAACAATTGGAGAACATTGATTAAGCACTTGTAATTTTGAAGTTGTGTACATGAAAATACCTACTGAAGGGAGAAGTCCTTAGGGATATGCCATAACCGACTTTGCGTTGTGGGTTCCTAGGAAAGGTGCCTTAAAATTCTAACCTATTCCTCAAAAAATCCTAGGCGTCTTTTTAAAGGTTTTCTCCGTCATAAAAAAAGGTGGGCAGGTAGGTAGGTAGGTAGACTTGAGAATCTGTCAATCTGAGTCAATTATGTATAAAACTATACGTCATTGATCTGAGTAGGTAGAAATATTTTTTATATAAATTTCGGAACCATGAGTTAGCTGCTAATGCTGCTATTACAGTAGCAGGTAAATTATATAAAACTGTCTTTAGGTAAGTGTAGGTCGTATATGTCTAAGTAGTACTTACATACCTAATATACCTACTTATGACTCCGTACACGAACACCATATCCGCTGTGGTCTAGATTAGCGGCTAATAAGGACCAGTATTGGGAAACCAACGATGCGTGTGTCATAAATTATAAAAATTGTGAGAAACTTAATTGGTGATGATTTATTTATTACTTAAACAACGTTATAACTTAGTAGTCTAGTCACACAGCTATAGAGGTAAACTAGATATCTACAAAATAGAAGGAGTGCACTGGAGTATTTTCGGCCGGAGTTGCGGGCCAAGCGCAAGCATGTACCGCGGCCTGTAGATCTAGCATGAAGTGTTATGGCGTGAATCTTCCGGGCGAGAAAGAGGGATGGAGTTATAAAAGGAAGAGAAGGAACGGGGTGGTTTTTAGTCATTAAGAGCCTGACGCTCCCTCTCGTTCCACCTAGGGCAGAAGAAGTTATTTGATAACTTCTCCTGCTACGCCATCCAGAAAAAGACACTACTTAGGTACAATATGTTAACTGTCGTAATTATATGCGGACCGTAGAGACCTTGTGTTTTATGACTAAAATACGAAAGCAACGGTTGTTGAGAAACCAAATCAATTAAATCGAGAAACATTGTAATATGTGTAATTTAGGTAATGCTGCGCTTGATAAATTCATAAGATTTATACGTAGGTACATATGGCTTTAAATCTGAACATATGTCCA